TGCGTTTTTTTTTCATTTTCGTTCTCTTATAAAATCAGCTCACCCAATTTTTCCAGAAAATGAAGTTCTCCGACTCACTTATGTCTTTGATTGGCGAGTTTGCCGCCATGAAACACACTCCTGACTATGTACCATCGGCAGCCAGTGTCACACCGGAACTCGAAAATAAAAGAAAACCGAGCATGGCACCGAAAGTGGAAACTGAACGAAGACACTCGCTACTGATCAGTGTTGGAACGGTGAGTGATACCATTCTTGCATGCCCCGTATTTCGAAGCCATTTTTCCAAGAATTTTGAAAAATTGCCTACTTGAGATCTAGATAAATATATCATATTTTATGGCTACTCTAGGTTTCGTAGTAAGATTTGAATGGACATAATTTTTCAGCATTCTCTGCAGCCTTAAATAGTAATACAAAACATTCAAAGGTCAACGTAACAAACAATTTCTTTGGCAACTTGCCAGTAGAGATTACTGGGGTTTTCTATAGCTCCGCCTATATTGAATAAATTCCAAGGTTTTTGAGATCCTCAGACAGCTCAGAGTTTTGCTCTGGCACCTTACCAAATTTTGAAAACTTTTTGAAGTGAGTCTCCATCAAATCCATAGCAAAGTATGGCTGACTAACATTACATGAAAAACTAATTATTTTTGGCGTATATTTGCACTGAAATCATTTTTATAAAATTCCAAAGAAGCATTATGTCTATAAGATTCTCGTAATTTTTGCAATGCTGCCAAAATTTTTGGGATTTTGTTAACTTGGAATACTGTCTTCGCAGAATGTCTTGAGATTTGAAAGTTATACTCATAAATCTAGCCAGTTTGTTTGAGAAATGAAAAGGGCTGCTTTAACACTTTTCGGTGTAAAATTTGATAAATTTCAATGAATTTGATTCAACTTCCTCAATGTATTGAACCTAAACCTTCCCCATTCCATTTCCCCTACTCGTCCCATGTCAAATACCAAACTGACAACTTTGACATCTCAACAACGCAAGTTACAGTACCGAATCCGGTTCCACCATTGTTTTTACTCCGAGCGAGCAAAAACCGTCTGCAAAATGACGATAATGGCTAAGGGTAAGAAAAAATTGGCGTAAACATGCGCTAAGTGGTCGAAACGTGATGCGTCAAGGTCATCTTTGAGACCAGGAAAAGCGGTCATATGTACCCATTTTCTCCCTGTTATGC